CATCAGATGGGCTTCCCTGGTGGCTCAGTGGTAAAGAATCCACCTGTCAATGCAGGAGACTCGGGTTCAGTCCCTGGGTCAGAAAGATCCCATGAAGAAGGAAATGGCAACCCACTCTAGTATTCTTGCCTGGAAAATCCCATGGACAGAGGAGCCTGGTGGGCTATAGTCCATGGGGTTACAAAGAGTCTGAGCACACATGTTCAACTATTTTAAATGGACCTTTTAGATCAGGTTAAAGAGTTGGATTTTTATTCTATTTACAGAAGGAAACCACTGGTAGATTTTGAGCACTAGAGTAACATGGTAAGATTTCATGGTAAAATTTCTTTCTAGATCACCTTCACAGCAGCGGTTAACAGAAGTGAGAGTGGGACGAGGGGTCAGTTAAGGAGGGCAGTGTCAATGAGGGCAGATGAGAACTAGGGAAAAGGTGGAGACAGCAGAGACAGGGCAGAGTGAGCATCCAATTCCAAAGGTGTTTGCAAGGAGACTCAGGACTTGGTGACTAACAGACTCACCAGTTGGTGTGGGGTGAGAGAGAAAGAGGGGTTAGGATGGCCCTGAGAGCTTCTGGCTTGGGTAGTAATAAGCAGTCTGATAGGAGTGGGTCATTCCCAGTGAATTTAGGACAGGGATTAATCACACTGGTGGTGCCAACTCCAAGATTTTGATTGAGTCAAAGCAAGGGCATGTGCAGAAGATGGCTAAAACGTTGGTGAAATGAAGAGCTAAGTAACCCCCTTTTTTTTTTTAGACCTACCACCCTCTTCTCATCACTTGCCAATTTCATGAGTCACTGTCTTCCCACCAGCCTGGCTGAGCTAAAGGCCCCTCCTTGGAGTCAAGGTCTTCTCAGGCAAGGCTCTGTCCCTCTGGTTAATACTTTATATCAAAATTTTTTGTTTCCCACACTAAGCAGTGAGCATCTCAAGGTCAAGAACCCAGTGTTTTTTGTCTCCTCTCAATGTGTGGCAATGTCCCTGGCAATGGGCAGACACTCAGCTGACTATGTTGATGTAAATTAAAGAGGGATCTCCCTGGTGGTGCAGTGGTTAACGGAGAAGGCAATGGCAACCCACTCCAGTGTTCTTGCCTGGAGAATCCCAGGGATGGAGGAGCCTGATGGGCTGCCATCTATGGGGTCGCATAGAGTCGGACACAACTGAAGTGACCTAGGAGCAGCAGCAGCAGCAGTGGTTAAGAAATCACCTGCCACTGCAGGGACATGAGTTCGATCCCTGGTCCAGAAAGACCCCCACATGCTGTGGGGCAGCTACAACCCCGCCCGCCCACCACAACTAGAGAATCCTTGCACCACAGTTAAAGGTCCCGTGTGATGCCCCGAAGACCCCATGTGCCACAACTAAGCCCTGATGCAGTCAAGTAAATAAATATTTTAAAAATCAATTAATTAATTAATGGACGTGCAGTAAGGGAACCACACAATGAACAGTGACTAACCTTTCCTAACTCATACTGTGTAGTTAGTGGAGACCCAGCCACCATCCCAGCTGCCTGTGGTGGGGGGCAGTTTTTAGGAAACGGTGCAAAGCTGAAGAGTTAACAAGACTGCTTCAGCTTTCCTCCACCCCCAGGAGAAAATCAGAGGCCCACCATCCACCAGCCGCCTGCGGATCTGAGTCATGGACCGCTCCTCCTGCCAGGAACCAGCCCCACACGGCCAGAGACGTGTCCTGGGCTTCCCAACACCCCCTGCAGCCCAGGTCTCCGGCCTTCTCATCTCTCAGCGCATCCTTGGTCTTTTAGCAGTTCATCCAGAGGCAGCGAGGAGCCAGCGTGGGCCCTGGCAGGCCCTGCAGCATTTCCAACTCCTGGGGCCGGCCTTCAGGCCTCGCGCCATGCTGCGGTGAGCTGGAGTGCTCACCAGTGTCTGCTGGGGCGCTGGAGGCTGACTTCTGTTCCAGACTGGTGGGCTGGGGAGACAAGACGGAACTAAGTGACACAACTCCAGCAGAATACTGCTAACAGTTTCCAGTCCCTTTTCCCTCCCCCTTCTTTGCAGAGCTTCCAGAAAACTCCTTCCTCTTGCGTCCTCCTCCTATGCTCTCATCCATCCATGAGATCTCAGGAGTGTGTCTTGCTTTTGGAGCTGGAGAGTGTGGAGAGGTATCTGAAGTGGCCGTGACCTCCCAAGTTCTCACTCTCTTCATGATCTCTTCTAATCTTCCAAAGACCCTCTGCTCCCTTCCACCCTTTCTGTCTGGATTTCCATCTCATGATTTAAAACATATATTCTATCTCGCTCACCCCACGTCCCTTTCCTCCCCAAAGACAAAGCATAGATGGACAGTAGGCTTAGTAACATCAAAAGGGATTTTTCATTTCAGAATACACATTTTTCCTTGGAAGAGAAAGTCAAAAATTTACTGGCAAAATAACATGGATGATGTGGATGCCTCATTTCCAGTAATTACGGTGCCACTGTCCCTGTTCCCTAATTAAGGCAAAAACTAGCACTCTTTTGGGGGCCCTAATTTCTTTCCTTTCTCATGTTGTCAAAAAAGAGTCCACCAACAGCTCCTTTTGAACCGAAAATTATTAAGCTTTAGTCTCAAGCCAAAAAAACATTTATTTTGGAAAGTTTGAATCAAATTTTCTGAGTTACTCATGAAAGAAAAGGTCATGAAAATGCAATATTTCTGACTTTTTTTTTTAAACTTCCTCAGCTTTTGGAATTCTCTCCATTCAAAAATCTTTTTTTTTTTTTTTTCAAATAAACCTGAACTTTTTATGCCCTCAGATTCTCATAACAAACTAGTCACAAGTTGTACTTGAAAGAGTGATATTTAAAATGTTAAAGTACATGAATAAGCTCTCTGCTTAGGTACCAATGAATTCCTAATACTAACTGGCCATCTCTTAGTTATGCATACGATTGTCTGGGGATGCAAATAATATGAAGAGTGGGAGGTTCCACAGTCTTGTTTATTCCTGGAGTATCTTAACTTCTAGAAATTTATAATTCTTCAAAAAAATGATGGAGCCACATTACAAAAATGAGCTCCATAATGCATTTCATCATTTTCTAAATATTCTACATTAGGAATAAATTAATGGACCTTATTTAAAAGCTGACTCAAGGAATACGGTAAAAGCACCCCCTTGCTGTCTGTATTTCTGTCTTCTACACTATTGCACTGACTGCATGATGGAAATGAGCAGAAGAGACAAATTATGAACCAGACATGTGCTTTAGTAATCTAGCAGTATTTGTAATTCCACATTCCCTAAGGTTGCAGGAACTAATTAAGTGCTTTCGCTTAAAAGGCCACCTGGGGGCTGCATGGGGTCCAGAAGTAAATTGTGAATAGAGCCATCAAATGACATGATTGGATTGTTTAATTCTATCAAAAAAGAATTTAAAATATGCATCGCTGAAGGTAATTCACCATGAGAAAAATCTACTTAGAGAAAATCAAAAATAGGTTTGCCCAGCTCTGTCTCTCTATAAATCTTGATGTGTGTCACTCAGTTTGACTTTAAGAGCTGCCCCAGGCACCCAGGGGAGGCAGACGTGGCCCGGTGAGAGCCTCGGAACCAGGATGGCTCGCTCCTACTTCCACAGCTGCATGAGGACAGCTGGGAGGCTGTGCGGGAGGCGGAAGCTCCATCAGGGAGATGCACCTCCCACCCGGAGCACTTCCTCCAAGACCACCCCAGCTCTGTGACCGCCGGCAACACACCAGTCTCCTTCTAAAACAAGGCAGTTGAAGGATGACTGAAGTAGAAACACAGTGTCTAGTTGAAAACCTCCGATTCTCCAAGCAGAGAATTAGGCTGAAAGACTAGCTGATGATGGACTGGCTTGGTTCTTCTTTTCTTTTCTAACATGTATTTCATTTGATTGAGGACCCAGTGAGTTTAAAGAGTTTTGAATTCTACTGAAGAACGTTGACGGTTTCTACACTCTGAGAGAGTCTTTTTGCTTCAGAACCACCCCCTTGAATAATTACTCTAAATGACTGTTGATACACCTGAAATCGGAATTGCTCTTGAATACATGTTAAGGCCCAGCCAGCTCTTTAACGAGTTCTCCCTGGGACTCCCCTGCGATCCAGTGGTTAAGACTCTGCACTTCCAAAGCAAGGGGCTTGGGTTGGCTCCCTGGTTGGGGAGCTAGGTTCCTGCACACCATGCCGTGCAGCAAAAAATTTTTAAAAAAATAAACAAAACCAGTAAGTTCTCCCCAAATGATGTAGGCCGCAACAAAAATTCTTTCCTCCGAACCCCTACACCACGTACCATCTGTAACACTTGTTTGGCACATACATGCTGCGGTATATTATTACTGCTCATTAACACATGTGTCCCAGTTTCTCAGCTAAATCATAATTACCCTGAAGGCCAGAACCATTACAAGATAGATTCTTACTTGGAAGACACTTTAAAAGTATGATGGGGAAATTAAACTTTTTTATATCCCACAATGTCTTCACTGATGTTTCTAACCTATGTGCCAGTTTACTAACTCATTCTGGCATTGTTTATATGGACTGTGGCATTCTATATTTAACACCCTGTGATACCACTGCCTATAACAAGGGATATTTGAATACAGACCACTGACTAACTCTATCCTTCACCGAGTCCTCATTTTCAACAAGGAGTAAGCTAAAGTCCTTACCTTCTCCAGGAAAGCTGAGCACCAAAGAATTGATGCTTTTGAACTGTGGTGTTGGAGAAGACTCTTGAGAGTCCCTTGGACTGCAAGGACATCCAACCAGTCCATCCTAAAGGAAATCAGTCCTGAGTATTCATGGGAAGGACTGATGCTGAAGCTGAAACTCCAATACTTTGGCCACCTCATGCAAAGAACTGACTCACTGGAAAAGACCCTGATGCTGGGAAAGATCGAAGGCGGGAGGAGAAGGGGATGTCAGAGGATAGATGGTTGGATGGCGTCACCAACTCAATGGACATAAGTGTGAACAAGCTCCAGGAGTTGATGATAGACAGGGAAGCCTGGCGTGCTGCAGTCCAAGGGGTTGCAAAGAGTCGGACACAACTGAGAGATTGAACTGAACTCTCCCAGGGAAATGGTGAGTGGGCGAGTATTTTCCAGATCCAATCACACAGATCAAGCCAACCAAGAACCAGGATATTTCTGGAATCACTGGCTCCGTTCTGAATGGACTGACCAGTCACAGAAAGCCAAAGTCAATCCCACTGATATTTAAGTCAGAGCAGACTAGAGCAATCAAGTGCAGCAAACCATAGCAGGGCAGAGAGGAATTCACCCAGAACCACCCCCAAATGCCCTGTATCTGACTGCATGCCAGTCCTGGCACTTGTATAAATCTCACAGTCACAGCCTGGTATTTCATAGGCATGCATAATCCCATCATGACAAGATGAATAAACGACCTAGAAGAGTTACAAGCTCGGAAGACCAATGAGACTGGCCAGGTAACAAAAAACAAGAGAAACAGGCCCATCATAAGGCAGGCAACAGGGGGTGGTGGGGCTTGGATCAGCCGGAAGACATGCACCCCACCTAAAGGAAGCAGTTGGTTTTTGTTCCTGCCAGCTGACACCTTGCAGAAACTCAGGCCCAATGCTGCCAGAGTCTTCTTTTTCCAAAGAACTAAAAAAAAAAAAGAGAGAGATCTTAATTTTAATGTGAATGCTCCAAGTTTTACATGTTGGTAGCCAATAGGAATTTTTTGGAAGAGTGGGTAAATCAAAGAAAACACAACTGTATACCAGATGTGGCTCAAGGGCCAACAGTCTGCAGTGTCCAATTTATATAATTCGTTGTAACTAAATATAGCCTATGTTCCCCAATACATCAAATATTATTTTTAATCTGTTTTTACAAGAGAGCTCAAGGTTTTTTTCTGCCTCAACTAAACATTATTCCTGTTTTTCTTCATGTTGCCCTCCCAAGTCTAGTTCCAAGTTTTTAATTTGTGGGTTTTGATCCTCTGTTCTTGGTTACATCCTCTTAGCAGTTGGAAGAGTGCTTCTTACTGTTTTACAACATAGTCTTCCACTTTTAAAAACAACAAAAATATTTTTTACTCCTTGTTTTTCCTGGGTTTAAGGTAAAAAAAAAAAAAACCAAACCCTCCTCATTTTCTTTCCTGACAGGACCAGCAACATAACTGATGTCAAAAGAGTCAAGGGGTGGGGGCGGTGGGGTGGGGTGTTAAGCTAAGTTTATTTTGATGCTTAGTCTTCTTACAGAGAGAATATTCTGAAAAATGTAAACTCGTTCAAAAAAATACAGAAAGAATGTTGTTGTTGGTTCAACACCAGGCGCTTTGGTGAAGCGATAAGATTTTTAAAAAGCAAAGCTTTTCACCAGGTGTATGACACCATTTCACATAGCCATTTGGGTTTAAATGGAATGAAACTGGGAAAAGAATGCATTTTGCATTTGTAATTCAGTTAAATAGCTGCAACACATGAATTGGTCTGCTGGTAGCTCCCCGTATGTTCTTTTAGTTATTTCAACATTTTCTCCACAACCACTAAAAATGATCACTTTTCTAGGAGGCAGAACTTCTTATTCTTAAATCTAATAGTTAGGCTTTTTTTTTTTTTTTTTTGGCCTTTGGATCAATAATTACTATTACCAGGGTAGGTATAAACACCATTCTGAAAATCAATGATCAAGTACTCATCATCATTAAATAATACTCATATGCACTTGGGGGTATATTACTCTCCCATGACAGCACCCAAAATCTTACATACCATGCAAATTTTCATTTAAGAAAGAGAAAGGCAACTTCTTCTTTCTGAGATACACACTAAACTCCAATAATGATGTTGTATCTTACTCAGATCACCAAGTCATGAAGGAAAAATGACTATTCCTGAGGAGAATCACTTTTATCTTTTATTTCAATCATGTATGGCTTTATTTGAAAAGCTCAGTTATTGATATTATGATAAGATATCCAACTTATTATCTATTATATTTTTCAACACAGTTATATATCAGACACAATCTCATAAATGTCAGCATTACTTCTGGCCCTTGGACCTACTTTCTCAGAACCTAAAAAAACAAAACAAAACAAAAACAAGTAATTCCATTGGAGCAGTCAGCCAAGATTCATTATATAGCTAATATTTCAGTTCCATGTTTTTGGAACTCACATGAGTTCCAATCAATTCCATGTGATTGGTCTTCCCAATCACAAAGTTGAACACCTTGAAGTTAAAAATTCGAATCTTCTCTTCCTTACTTCCCACACCCAACCAGTGGCCAAAAGTACCAATTCTACTTTCACAGTATTTGATGCACGTATATCTCCTGCCCCCCTTCATTAACTTTTCACCCCACTAATCCAGAATTCCAGTTACCAGTTAAGGATGGAATCCATGAGTATAAGGTCATTGGCTATGTCTGGATACAATCCGGAGCCCGAAGCCAGGTTCCAACCTCAAGTCAAGACTAAGTGCTGGGGAGCAGAGTCATTATCAAGGCATCTCCAGGCTGAGTCAGATAATGATCCGAAAACTCCTCAAGGCACTCTGGAGTGGCTGTCAGTCTTAAGGAATGTCTGAATAAGAAATTTCATTTTCACCGAGACCTGCCCTGGATGACCTCATCCTCTAAGAGGATCTAAACAGGCTGAGACCAACTACTAGGGTACGACAGGGATAATTTTCATCTGAATTCCCTGGGGGCAGCTTCTGGCAAATTGAAGAGAGTATCAAGGGCAGGGCATTTTGTCCTGAACCCTATTTCAGACTACCTGTAGTGAAATCAACCTGTGGATCCAACGTGTACGATGCCCAGAAGTTTCTGAAACTCTTCCAAATGGGGTTGAAAGCTTGGTGTAGAAGAGTGGAACGCCCAGGGACCAGCCATGATGAGATAGAAATTGACTTTGCAGTGGAGGCTGGGAGTGACTACCAATCAGTAACCAAAAGCAAGATATGGCAGAGACACAGTGGGTCTTGGTATCATTGAGACCCAAAGGATGACCATACCAGCAAGCTGGGATTGTAGATGCCTAGCTAGGCTGATGACACTGAACCACAGATTAAGTCAACCACCAATTCCATTCCCGGGGCTTCCCTGCTGGCTCAGCTGGTAAAGAAGCCGCCTGCAATGCAGGAGACCCCAGTTTGATTCCTGGGGCAGGAAGATCCGCTGGAGAAGAGATAGGCTACCCACTCCAGTATTCTTGGGCTTCCCTTGTGACTCAGCTGGTAAAGAATCTGCCTGCAACATGGGAGACCTGGGTTTAATCCCTGGGTTGGGAAGATCCCCTGGAGAAGGGAAAGGCTACCCACACAACTGAGCAACTTTCACTTTCACTTTCAATTCCATTCCCAGCAGAGGGACAAACAGATATCATCCCAAAGGCCAAGAAGAGCCGTAAGACTCCCACAACTCCCCCCACCAGTAAAGAGTGAACCAAACACTTTCTCCACTAGTATCCCATGCCATTTTGAAAAAGAGTCAAGGACAGAGCAGAAATAATAATATGAATATGAAGTAATACTTTCTGAGAACTTAACAGAGCCAGGTCCCATTCTAAGTACTTATGTTAATTCACTTAATTCTCTCAACAACCTTCGAGGATTTTATTATATTAAATATTATTATCTCACATTAGTAGAAATTGAGAAAAAGTAAATAACTTGCATAAGGACACAGTTACTAAGTGGCAGAAAACAGACTGCTTGACTCTATAGCCCTCACATCACCTCTATGACAATACTTCTCTTTAAGAAAGAAGAAATCCCTGCCCCATGGAAACTTACAAGATGGTACAGGAAATAAAACTTTTAAAAAACTAATAACCAGGAAGTGAAGTAAACCTACTCTTCCGCAGTAGACCCAGCTGCCATTTTGAAGAAGCGTTAGGAAAGGAGAGAAGCATAGAAATAATGGTGCTGATAGATATATTGACCCTTTTCTACAGGCTGGGCATTGTTTTAAGCACTTTATATCTATTAACTCATTTACTCCTCATTACAATCCTTCGATAAGGCTTCCCTGGTGGCCCCGTCATCAAGAATCCGCCTGTCAACGCAGGAGACACGGGTTCAGTCCCTGGGTCGGGAAGATTCCCCTGGAGAAGGAAATGACAACCCACTCCAGTATTCTTGCCTGGGAAATCCCATGGAAAAAGGAGCTTGGCAGGCTACAGTCCATGGGGTTGCAAAAGAGTCGGGCACAACAACAACCCTTTGATATAGAATGGAACTTTATGCTAGAAACATTCTACTTTCTCTTCTCCAATATAGTAGACACTAACTATATGTTGTCTATTAAGCCTTTGAAATGTGGCTGGTACAACTGAAGAAATAAATTGTTACCCTCATTTAATTTTAATTAAATTTAAATAATCATACAGGGCTAGTCTACACTGAATTGGATGGCACAGAAGCAGATATTTTTCCTAGTTTACACATGAGGACACTGAGGCAGAGTAGCTATGTAATTTGTCCAAAGTCACTGAGCTACTCAGTGGCAAAGTCATTGTTTGAACCCAGGCAGTATAACTCTGGAGCACAGACTTTTAACTCTTAACATTTCCATGACAAATTCTGAACAATTATCCCAGAACACTGAGCACTGGATGAAACATTTTTTTTTTCCCCCTAAACAGTTGGGGCCGGATCTATAACTTGACAAAATAAAGACATTAATTTTCTCTTTAGAGTTTCTCAAGTGCGCCATCTGTTCTCCAGTAAATATAGTGTGTTTCAAACGGTGTGGCTGAGGCCGTCCCATTTGGCTTGGTTGCACCTGAATCCCTTGCATCCAGACAACTGCCCAATTATTGTTACCAGAAAAGGTCTAAACCAAGAAGGGCACGGCAAGCATAGTGGAGAGCCAAGCCCATCGGATCAAGGCTGCTAGGATGGCAGCTCACAGGTGCAAGGACCCTGTGGTCAAGAGGAACGGATGAGGGTGAGGGGTCATTGTCAGTAATAACAGTAAGGGTGCTAGGAGACTGTAAACCAGAGCCATAAGACCAGGGAGAAACACTAATTTAGAGAGTTGAATTGGAAGAACTTTCTTAAACCAGAGGCATATCCTAAAGTCGGCAAATGCTCAGAACAGATACACCATAAACTTAATAGTCTGCTCAGCCCCCAGTGACATCTTGATTGAGTTCAAGAAAAGTTTAGGACTTCCACGGTGGTCGAATGGTTAGCACTCTGCACTTCCAGTGCAGGGGGCATGAGTTTGATCCCTGGTCATGGAACTAGGATCCCACGTGCTATGCAGCATGGCCAATAAATAAATAAAATTTAATTAAAAAAAGAGAAAAGTTTACCTCTCCCTAGTTTAACATCATCCATGATCCACTGACAATAACATCCCTCCCCTCATTCTAAAGTTTTTAAAGACCTCAGTTTTGTTTTTAAAGAGCTCTTAGCTACCCGTGAAGGAAACACTGAAAGATATACCAAGAAGCACTTTTATTGGAATTAAGCACTCTTATACTTTTTTAGATGCTATAATTCATGCACAAGAAGAATGAAACGTGCCCAGTTTTTCTCTGAATTCAACTCCCTGTGTCTCACTCTGACTTCAGGGTGGTGAATCTGAGAGATTGGTTTCTATGGGTTCCATCTTGAAAAACGGTTTTTGCTGGAAATTAAATCAGGGAATCTTTGTCTGAGGGAACAGTTGGGCTTGAAATAAAGCTGCTTTCTCTTTGGAATAAAAGATCACATTAAATTTTTGAGAAAGGGAAAATCATCAGAACACCCTGGAAACCAAGGACTTTTAAGTGCAAGTTTTATCAAAGCAAAAGCAAGTCTACCCACTAAAATGCCCCCGTAGGAAGAACGATGGTTAAAGATTTATTATGAAGAACAAAAACCTGGGGAAAACTGTGTGCCAAGGGGGTGAATTTTGCCATTGGAAATGTGTGTGTGTGCGGGTGTGTGTGACATTTGTGAAATTTCACAAAATGTTTCCGCTTTGCCAGGCAGTGTTCACAAAGCCAAACCTTGGAGCTCTGCACAGCACCTAGGCCAAAAGCAATCAGCAGCCGGAGCCCACACAACAGCACATTAGCAAATATGCCAGCTTCGCTCACATCATGCAGTCAGAGAATGAAAATCGCAGTGCTGAATTGCACAACTCCCAGAACATGAGAAAAAAACAAGACTGAAAAAAGGAAATAATTTAAAGAGCAAGTGATTATTAACAATAGTACAAGACGGAGAGGTAAGCTTCCACTCTTTCTGTATAACACACAGGCCAACCGAGTTTCTGAACTTGTTATTAATCTCATCAACCACCCTAAGGAAGTCAAGATTTGGTGTTTTAACCTACCTTCGTGGTCGTGGAGTTGTACTAACAGAAGCGCTGATTCATGCTGACACGTGTTCTAGACCAGAGTCAGAAAATGTTCTCTGTAAAGAGCCAGAGAGTAAATATTTTAGACTTTGGAAGCCATGTAATCTTTGTTGCAAATACTCAATTCTGCCACCGTATTATGAAAGCAGCCACAGACAGCACAGAAATCAATGAACATAGCTGTTGCAATGAACATAGCTGTTGCAATATATTTATTTCCTTGAATTCTATGCAGTTCTAATCTAGTCCAGATTTATCTAATCAAATTCCATCTAACATTTTTATATAAGAATCAGAATGTGGACTAGATAAGATTATAAATTCTCTAACAAAAATGTTTGCTTCTGTGTCACTATCCAGTTTAAATGTGTCCCCTGCAAAGGAAATTATTTTAAGCAAATTCAGTTACTTGATTCCTCTTCTTTCCACAGACAATCATTTATAGATCAGTATTACTTTCTCTAAATTTCTGTAGCCTAATATTGTGCCTAAAACATAAAAGTAGATGGAGGACTAAACAACTGACTGGACAGTTTTTCATTCTTTCACTTGAAAAATAATCAAACATGGAATCCTAAAATATAATGGAAAAATATCTTCAAAGTTAGAAGGAAAAAAATTGGGGCTATTGATTCTTAAGCCCAATAATTCAATAAAGCCATTTACAGATATTCCAGAAATCAGTACCACCCACAAAGCCTTTTTTAAAAAGTTACTCAAGAGTTTTGTGTCAGAAAAATTAAAAACAAATCCAAGGAGAAGAAATACGTGAGCATCAAGAAGTGATGATTAAGTTAAGGACCACAAAAAATTTCCAACTAGAGCAAAATAATTTTTCATAATGGTGTTTTGAAGCTTAATTCAATTATTAGGAAATAATCCTTACAAAATAAAGGCAAAAAAAGACAAACATGAAAATGAAATGGTATTTTTATCAAATCAGAGGAGGAACTAAAGAAGAAAAGAGGTAAGAGGCCAAGCTTCACACTTTTATCTTGTTTAAGGAGGAGGTGAGAGACACTAACTCATGTTAGAAAATGACAAAAGGGAATACGTTCAAACATGTTATTAAGAAATAAGCATAAGCCCTAGATAACAGTGGTAGTATGTATATCTTTCAAACCAGTAAACAAAAAAATAACAGTAAAGAAAATGAAATCACTCCAGGAAAAGGTAAAAAAACTAATTTACATAAAAATAGGAAACCAACCAGGGATATCAGAGTGAGACCAAATGTTTCCATTTTCCTGGTAAATGGCGACAGATAAATTTCCCAATTCAAAGACAGAATTTCAGATTAGGTTTTTAAGCAAAACCCAGGTATATCTGTTTCCAAGAGATATGCCTAGAACAAAACGATTCAGAAAGATCAAATATAAAGTGATCGACAAAGATATAGTAGGCAAATACTAACAATATAAAGCAGAAGTAGTAACAATTTAGTTAGTCAAGGCAAGAAGCAGAAATTAGACAAATGCAGTCCACTCCACAAAGGAAAGCAGTACATCTAACAGTTAACTATCAAACTGCATTTTAAAAAAATCTGTCTGAATACAAAAAGCTATTGACAAATGTAATATCATAATGGAAAATTTAATACTTCTCAGAAATTGATAGGAAAAAACACACCAAAAAAGAGAGAATTTGAATAGCACAATTAACATGATTGATTTAGTAAATATATGGAAAATTTTGTAATAAAGGAAGTAGAATAAACATCCTTTCCAAACACCATTTATAACACTGATGATATATTTGGCCACAAAAATATTCTCAGAAGAGTTTTTAATAGTAGAAATCACGCAAACCATATCCCACAGCTATGATGCAACAAAGCTAAACATTAAAAACAAAAAAAAATGGTCAAATTAAAGTCTATCCACTAGAAATTTTTTAATGTTTTCTAATTAGTCTTGAAATTGATGATTTATATTGCAGACCATTTATAAAGTGGTAACACTGAGAGCATCACACATCAAAATTTAGGGGTTCACAGAATCTTACGGAAAACAAGAAAGGACTGAAAATAAGTGAACTAAAGCACTCATACTAAAAGCTAAATAAAGAACAAATGAGCCTCTCCACATGCACAAAAAAGGATAAAAACCAGATGTGAGTATATAAATAGAGATAGAGATATAAAATAGAAAAGAAAATAATTAGTTTACTTGGTCAATAAAAGCAAAGAAGTGTTGCTTAAAGAGTAAGCAGGGAAATATAATCAGGAAAAAATGAAAATACAAATAGCAGTAGAAATAAGAGGTACTTAGCTATAGAAATAATAAATGTTAAAACCTTAGGAAAACACTTTATAAAATTTATGCACACATACTTGAAAATGTAGGTGAAATGGATAATTTTCTAAGACAGTGTGAATGCTCAAAATTGAGTCAAGAAAAGCTAAAAAAAAATCTGACTAAATCAATAACCATAAAATAAATGGAAAATTTAGTCAAAGATTAATCCTCCTCCAGTTTTGTTGTTCAAACTTTAAAAACTAGACGATTTCTATTATTTAATACTCACATGTGCTAAGTCACTTTAGTTGTATTCAACTCTTTGTGACTCTATCGACTATAGCCTACCAGGTTCCTATGTCCAAGAGATTCTCCAGGCAAGAATACTGGAGATGACTGCCATGCCCTTCTCTAGGGGATCCTCCTGACCCAGGGAAAACAACCACACCTTTTGTCTCCTGCATTGGCAGGTGGGTTCTTTAACACTAGCACCACCGGGAAGCTAAAAATGAAAGTATTAAAACATATCACAAGGTAAGAAACTCCCAATATCAAAATTAAGAAAGAAAACTAGACATCAGTTAACTCATGAATATAAATGAAAAAGTTCTAAATAGCACATTGCTAAATTGAACCTAACAAGGTATTAAAACAGAAAACAAAGTGTACCTAGAAAGGTTTATCCCAGGAGCATGAGGATAATTCAAAATTAAGAAAATAAGAACATAATTTAGCATCTTAATAAATTAAAAATAAATAATGATTATTTCAATCTATGCCAACACATTATATACTAAAGTTCAATATCTTTTTCCAAATGTAGAAAAACACTTCCTTAACTTATGAAGGTGATCAATCAGAAACCTATAGCTATTATTACTCTTGATAATGAATATTAGATACACTGGCATTCAAAAATAAAACAAAAATATTTGCCATGACTGGGCACCAGAAGACAATATGACATAAAAGCAACAAATGATACAAATAATGGAATTGAAAAAGTAAAATTTCATTACTTGTGGACAATAAGCAATAAATGATACAAATAATGGAATTGAAAAAGTAAAATTTCATTACTTGTGGACAATATGATTATCTAACCTACCAAAAAAGAGAGAGAGAAGCAATGGAATAATATTAAAACAAGTAAGAGAATTCAATTATCAGTATAAAACAACAAAATTCAAAAATAATCTGTTCTCAACACTAACAATAACCAATAAAAAATGTAATGGAAAAAATTCCATTAAAAACCAACAGACCTAAGGAAGATAAAATTAAGACGAACTCATACATGAAATAAAACTAATAAGAAATATGCCAGACAAGGATGCAAATTAAAATTTTTATTCAGAGCCAAAAAATAATCTCACTAAAAAGAGAAACTACCATAATTGTGAATGGTAAAAACCAATATTGTAAAACTAAAACTCTGTTATTTTCAAATTAGTCTACACATTAATGCTCAAAATATCAATTGAGACAGTACTCCACACTTCAATCTGAAGGGAAAGTGAGCAAGAAAAGGCATAATATTTTTGGAAAATAAATAAATTTTAATAACAAGATAAAAACTTACTGTAAAGCTATGGTAATCAAAACTGAGTGGCACTGGCATCAAGATAGACATGTAGACCAATGGAATGGAATACAGAGCCCAGAAATAAATACTCACAGATATGGTCAAATGATTTTTTATAAGGTGCCAAGATTGAACCTGGGTCTCTTGCATTGCAGGCAGATTCTTTATTATCTGAACCACCACAGAAGCCCATGGGCACCATGCTAAGTGAGTAAGCCAGTCACTAAAGGACAAATACTGTATGCTTTCATTTATATGAGCTCATTTATATGAGTTCCTTAGAGTAGTAAGGTTTCCCTGGTGGCTCAGTGGCAGAGAATCCGCTTGCAGTGCCGGAGACCCAGGTCTGATCCCTGGGTCGGGAAGATCCCCTGGAGAAGGAAATGGCAACCCAGTCCAGTCTTCTTGCCTGGAGAATCCCATGGACGGAGGAGCCTGGCGGGCTGCAGTCCCTGGGGTCGCAAAGAGTCGGACAGGACCGAGCGACTAAATAAAAACAACAAGAGTAGTCAAATTGTTTTATAGAGAAAGAAAGCAGAATGACAGCTGCCAACGGCTGGGGGAGGGAGAAATCGGGGAGTTAGTGATTAATGAGGACAGAGTTTCAGCTGGGAAAGATGAGAAAGTTCTGGCAATGAACGCTGGTGATGGTTGCACAACAATGTGAATGTCTTAAGGCTACTGAACTTTACAATTAAAAATGTAAAATGGTCGATTTTGTATTATGTGTATTTTGAAGCAATAGAAAAAAAGAGCAACTTGTTTTACTAGATATAAAAATTTATTATAAAGCTATAAGAGTTAAACCGTGTGGTAACAGTGTGGTAACGGCAGAGGTGAAAATAACCAGTGTAATATAATTAAATGATCGGAAACAAACACTTCTACTATGGAAATAATGTATGTGATAAAGATCATATTTAAATCCATGGGAACATGATCGGTTATACAATAGTTTGTGCCAACTGGTTTTCCATTTGAAGAAAATAGAATTAGGCTTTTATTTCACATCATACATAAAGTCTAGACTAAAGATATATGTATATATATATATATATATGTGTATATATATGTGAGTATATATATATGTGTGTATATATATATATGTATATCTATGTGAGTATATATATATATACAAACACAAATATAACACAAAAAACTATAGTGACTATTTTATGATATTAGGATATCTTTGCACATATATGATGTTAGCATAGTGCTGCTGCTGCTGCTA